TTGGAGGAGCACCACACAACTGCCAGATCAAAGCCTTCGGGACGCCACCACCAGACTCGCCGGTGCACATAGGCAGAAGGGCCGAGCCTCCCATAGCTGAGGACGCACGCTGCAGCCGCCCCAGCTCCCAAACCTCCGAGCCGGATGTGCCAGATCCGTGCCGCTCAGAGGCCATCGCGCCGGCCTAGCAATGGCGCGCCACCACTGCAGCCATTCGCTGTCGGCGAGAGAGCTCGGGGACCGCCTCCTGGCGCCCAACCTCGCGTCGCACACCAAGCCGTGGAGGGCTAGCCACTACGCGCCACCAAGCGAGGGAATCTTGCCGCCGCCGGCTGCCGCACGGGTTTTGCCCGGCAGTGTCGCCTGACGGCTGCGTGGGGGCGGGTGGTCAGAGGGGGGTGGCAGCGGGTTAGGTTTCGCTCGAGCCGGCCCCCTGGAGAGTGATGCGAGGGATCTATATCCTATGTTTCTAATGCCAAAGTTCAGGACTGTAGTACGTTCAATAGGTTAGCAAAATTCAACATTTGAGATCTCTCCACATTTTAGTATCCCATTTAATATTGTATGCCCCGTTAACAACATTCTTAAAAAGTGTATGCTTATAGATTTGAGCAAACTTGAAATCAACATGAGCTAGCCTACCATGCATGCATGATATATATTCAACATGGCAGTAGGAAGTTTACCGAAAAAGGCTTTGGCCCCGCTTTATAGATAAAGCAAACCGCCACAAAGCAGTACACGAGAAGGTTCACACCACACACACACGTCTCACAACACAAAGTACAAGAGGTTCTGCTGAGGGCACAGCTCAACAAGCCCAAATAAAAAACAAGGGAGCCGGAGAGGGAGCCCGGCCCCTAATCCGGCTCGGGAGGTGGCGGAGGGAGCGGCGGCGACAAACGGACAACCATCGAGCGAAGGTCAGCGATGAAGGCAAAGATGGCGTCACGGTCCTGGGGGCGGCTAAGCGGCCGCCAAAGCTGCAAGTAACCAGACAGTTTGAAGAGGGCGTCAGTAGCATGTCGAAGCGGAATGTGCTGAATCACAAGTCTATTGCGGATCGTCCAGAGGGTCCAAGCGAGGGTCCCAATCTACAGCCACCTAATGTGGCGAGAATGCAAGGGGGGGGGGGAGGCCTGGAGTTCAGCGAACATGTCGGGGAAATTGGTGTGGCACCTTCTACCAACCAACCCCAAAGAAATTGGGCGGACACACAAGAGAAGATGTGATTCGAGTCTTCGGGGACACCATAGAGCGGACAAAGGCCACTACCCGGGCCATTGCGCTTACGGATCTCCGCACCGGACGGAATCCGTCCGCGAATCCATTGCCACATGAAGATCCGGATCTTCAGGGGAAGGCGGACTGGCCAAACCACTGCAAGGGGAGGGGGGCGGAGGAGGGGGCAATGGCCCGGTAAAGGGATTTGGTGGAGAACTGTCCCGACGGCTCCAGGCGCCACCTAACGAGATCCGGGCCAGCGTCAACTAGAGGCTCGTGGAGGGCAAGGCAGTCAAGCAGCTCCTGCCAGGCGGCAACATCCGGAGGCCCAAATGGTCTTCGGAAGGCGAGGCGCCCTAAGTCAATAAGGGCCCTCTCAACAGAGATCCTAGGATCAACGGCGATGGAGAAGAGGTCGGGGAAGCGCGCAGCGAAGGGGGAGTCTCCCGCCCAACGGTCAAACCAGAATAGAGTCGCAGCACCAGAACCAACCGAGATGGATGTCCCAATGCGAAGCACCGGGAGCAGTTGGATGACCGACTGCCAGAACTGGGAGCCGCCAGATCTCTGGCAGAAGGCGAGGGGCTGCCCACGTAGGTATTTGTTTCGGATAATGTCTAATCAGAGGCCACCTTGCCCTTGTGCAATCCGCCAAAGCCATCGGGATAATAGGGCGATGTTCATGCGCTTAGAGCACATGATCCCAAGGCCCCCTTGCTCCCGAGGCTTGCAGATGTCTGGCCAGCTGACCATATGGTATTTCTGTTTATTGTTGTCGCCCGCCTAGTAGAAACGGGACTGGACTTTGGCGATCTCGTGATGCAGAGATTCGTGCAAGCTATAGAAGCTCATGAGGAACAAGAGGAGACTGGACAGGGATGAGTTTATGAGAATCGTGCGGGCCGCCTTAGACAGCAACCTCCGCTGCCAAGGCTCAATACGCGTCTGCAGCTTTGCCACGGTTGGGCGCAAGTCAGCCACGGCATAGCGGAGGGCTTCGGGGCTGGAGTCCCTAAAGAGAGATCTGAAGGATTGGAGTATCACCAATGGAGTATCACCAAAGAACTAGCCATGGACCGGGGTGCGTGGAAGCTTGCTATCCATGTGCAAGAACCATGAGTTGGTCGCAAGATCCTATGGGTTTCAACCCTAGCCTACCCCAACTTGTTTGAGATTAAAGGCTTTGTTATTGTTGTTGTTGTTGCAGAAACCGTGGCCCTGCCAAGGGAAAACCCCAAGCGCTGGGACACCCAATTCTCATACAGCCTACAACCCAATGATATAGTCTTCGACGTGGTCACTGTCTCGGCCGTAGAGCTGAAGCTGCAGTGGATCCTCACGACGCCCACGGCCGCCGGCAAGAAGATCGACAGGAAGGAAACCTTGGGCAGTGCCATCAGTGCGGATGCGCTGCCAACGACCGGTGGTGGCTCCACGTGGACCTAAGAAGGGGCGGTAGGGGAGGCTAGCGGATTTGCAACTCCTGGCAGTGACCAGACCCTAGAGGTGCCGCGCCGGGCTGCAGCGCTGGCTGTAGTAACCGCCTTTGCTGGTAGGTCATTGGTGGAGGACATGGGGAAGATGAGGTTGATGCAATCGGCGTCTGACGGTGTGGAAGGGGGTCAGCACCGTGTCTGTCGGTGCATAATACAGGCAAACCCCATGATAGGGTTGCTTATGGGGCACAGTACGCATAGAGGATCAGAATAGGGTGCACATGAGATGAACGATTTTACGTAGGTTCAGGCCCTCGCGGTGGAGGTAATACCCTACATCCTGCATGTCTGATTGTAATGATTGGTGTCTCATATGAGAGATCTTGACATAGATTGGATGCTGACTTTGGAGCCCCCTACCCCCCCCCCCCCTTATATATGTGA